ATGAGGAGCTTGTAATAGAGATGCTTGGATATCATGACAATGCAGAAAAGAAAACCAAGCCTCAAACAATGATGACAGGAGTCAACTAGGTCAAGAGGGAGAGGATGTTAGATTTGGAAATCGTGTGTCAGCGGTACAGTCGGGTCTGGGGGGGGGGGGGGAGAAGGAGGAGGGGCAAGACCCCCCTCCCCCATCCCAATTTATGTTAATTTTATACAGCATAATAGTACCTACCAAAACAAATATGCGCGTTGATGTATATGTTTATAGTATGTGTGCTCTTGGTTTAATTATACCCTCCTAATGACCGGTCTTGAGAAAATTTAGCAATGGGGTAAAACTGGTCACATGTCCGCAAACAGCCAATCATTTGGTTGGGATCCACGTCATCATTTTATGGTATCAACATTGAACATCTTTAACCCATCTTTTTTAGTTGCAGCAACCTTAATCCAAAAATCATCCGTGGAATAAATTCTATAAACATCCTACAAGGATGAAGATCCTGTACCCCCCCCCCCCCACTACCGCATGAACGCGGCCAATATGAATATCATCTCCGGTTTATGCTTACTTAACAAAATAGATAATTAATAGTAATGATCTAGTATTACTTACCCAGAGCAGTCGCATCATCATTATCAATACTGCTCTACCGAGTATGATTAGCCCAGCATTGCCATGTACTCATTTGCACCTTGGTGGAGAGTGACAAGTAACTATTATGTGCAAAACACTTTGTCCAAGGATGTAAGCGCCGAGTGAGGATCAAACACCAAAACCTCTTGTTGAAGAGTTAAGAACAATCCTAAAATACTTTTCAACTGAATCAATCTCTGGAAAAAGACCTTTACATGATCATGTGCTATGTTCATATCTGCTTTAGATCTTAGAGGTGCAATGCTCTACCTCTGAAACTCATTCGAATAACACGTGCGGGATTGTTCTTGCGCTGTTCACATTAAGTATGAACATGACGTACAAAGAAAGAGGACAAAATATACAGTTCCTCAGGTAGACAAAGAACATCCCTTCCCTGCTATTATGTAAAAATGTGTAGAACAGGTGAATATGCATGTGACACCTGTTCTACACATTTTTACATTTTAGCAGTGAAGGGATGTTCCTTTGTCTCTCTGAGGAACTGTATATTTTGTCCTCTTTCTTTGTCCGTCATAAGTAGCCCTCAACTATAATTATCAAAGTGTTGTGTGAAAGTCCAAAGAACTCGACGGTATGAACAGGGCGGAGTAAAACGAGCTTCATTTGTCGAAAGTCTATTGAGAGGTTCATAAAGTCAATGCACGATCAATAAGAAACAACTGTACTATTGCTGAAACGTAATTCAAATACAAAAGGCACTAGAACTATACAAAATCAATACCCTTCACACACATAGGCTACAATACACTTCCCCGCGTTACCATGCGAGGATCACAGTATGGGTCAATACATATTCCTTTATTTAGTTGATCGAAAAGTAGATATTAGGGACTTTTAGATTTGCGTGGACTGATACGTGTGACGTCCATTCAAGGCAGTCCATTAAAAGGACGTCGATCGTAGCAATCCACGTTGTCGTTGTGCAAATCTAAAAGTACCTAATGATTGAACCTACAACGACGTTGTAAACATTCCTCAGAAAGTCTAACTCAAAGTATAGAAAGGAAGTCGAAGAGTCAAAATTCCATAGACACACATGTTAAAAGTCAGTTCCAAAAAAGAAAATACCTATCATACACTATTCAAAACGTCAAAAAATTCCTAAAAATCTTTGAGTAAAATTCAAAATATCAAAATTCACATAGAAACACGTTTTGTCAGACATATTTTGCTCGAAAAAAAAATAAGTCCAAAATGACAAATCCCTAATTAAATTCGAAAAGTCAAAACCTCAACAAAACCCCATAGACACGCGTGTTATAAGTCCGTTTTTTCTCGAAAATAGACTATGTCAAAGTTAATGTACACGAGTCAATTAGAAATAGTATAAGTACGAAAATATTCGTGTACAAACCCTATGGCCGTCCGCCTACTCACTGCTATAACTACTGTCATGTTCATAGTGTCAATAGAGAATAAAGGAATCTTTGAATGTTGGGGAAAAAAAACGTGTAAATACATAATAACAGGTTTAAAGCCGCACGGAGATACAAGAGCTCTTCAATCTAGCTTTAACATAATAAAACAGATCATAAGGAAGTTGTCGAGCAAAATAAGTATAGTGACACGTTTCGAAATAAAAGAAAATCTTGTTTTTCATCGATGTTTCTGAGAGAGTTAAAGAATGCACATGGACATAATGGAGGGGAAGTGAGAGTTGTTAAAATTGCACGTGATTACCATTAGGTGAGGTTTATCTTCATGTTTTTCCTACTTATTAGAGTGACATGTTTCGAAATAAAAATTGCATGTTTTTCATTTATGTTTTCTGAGAGAGCTTAAGAATGCACATGGATATGATAGAAGGGGAAGGTGTCAAAATAGCACATACTTCCTAACATGAAAGGATTGTTTTCATGTTTTTCCTATTTTCTATTTTTTTTTATCTTGATTTGTCTTGAAATCCAGCATTAGAAATACAGCTTTTAGGACACAGTTAATATCATTATATTGTTAAAGCCCCTTGTGATTTGATGGTAATATTGATGTCGTATGAGATGTTCGATTGCCTAATATTATTTGACTAAAGAAGAGAGAGAGGGAGAGATAGAGAGGGGGAGAGAGAACGAGAGGGATAGAGAGAGGGGGATAGAGAGAGAGAGAGAGCGAGAGAGAGAAGAAAAGAGAGCAAAGGAAAGAAAGATAGAGAGAAAATAAGAGAGTGAGAGAGAGAGAGAGAGAGAGAGAGAGGGGAGAAGGGAGGAGACAGGAAAAAGAAGTACGTAATAGGACCCCTCCCTCACCCTCCCTGCATGGTATGCTCCATTTTCTTTTGAATTTAAACCATATACGTAATATTTCCAAAACCCATGTTGCATTTGCCCCAACCACCCCCTACTTTTAGCACCTTCACTTATGCTACGCCGATGTGACACAAGGGACCCTTCTCTAATACTTCATACAGTTTTTACTTAAAAGACTTCTTTCGTGTAAGCCTCTTCATATTTCATTTGCCCACGAGGGTGTCTGACTTTGAAAGGGGCAGGTCGATGACGTCACAGTGAGTCTCGTCGAAGGGAAAGCAATAAATGAGAGTTTTGATGAAACATTACGTCATTGAGTAAACTGAAGGACAATGCAAAAGTCAATGTCTTGAAGCGGGAGTATTTGGTAGCCTCGCTCCAATTCTTTACTCAAGCTTGAATTTATATATATATATATATATAGATGGAACCTATATAAAATGCGGTATGCATGTATATCTTTCTCTATGTAAAGGTACCACGGTCTAGAGGATACGTCACCTTACTGTGGATCACATGTTTCGCGGTTCGAGTCCCGCCTTTGGCACAACATTAATCCTCGTATGCCACAATCCGCCCATGTAGGATTTGAACGTTAAAGTGGTTACATCGGCACTTGTGCGCTCGTACAATGATACGTTGTCAGAACAGTCCTCATGCAGCGTAGCGTGTGTACTATCCTGTACCGATTAGCATTTTGATCCAATGACCGAGGTAATATCAATTATAAAATGCTGCATTCAATCAGATATTGTGTATCCGAATTACATATTCAAATAATTTGATTTTGGGAAAATTCATACTGATTATTTCGGCCAAATGTAAGTATGGTCAAAACAATCACGGGATGTTATAGGATTTTCCGGCCAAATTCGCGAGTTTGTCATTAAAATTAATTTGTCTTGCGTTCAAATTCGACGGTTTTAGTGCTGTCGGATATATCTCGGGTTTATATTCCTTTTTCTAGATTTGAAATCTATGAAGTTTTCGTTAGAATCTATGTGTGTTTCATTCAAATTAATTAACAAAGTGCTTCTTTCGCTATTTGGTCATTCGATTTAGCGCAACACGATTTTCTAACATCGCGACGGTGTACTTCTAGCATTTTGTAGCATTCAAATTAGCACTTTGTGCACTAAAATTAATGGTCAATATACATTTCTCGTTTATTACACGCTTTTTATAGCTCATTATCTTTCTTTCAAGATCGTTTTTCATGTGTATTTCATCCTATTTTATTTTCTTGCATTTATACTCTTTATATACTTTTAGATTTATCAGATATTCATCAGCCTTTAAGTTTGATTGTTAAAAAAAAGACTTACATCTACGGACTTGATGGTCTCAATATTAAATTTGTGTAAATTTTCATGTAAGGAAGTTGTTTTGTGTTTTATCATAAATTTATCACAATTTCATTATGGAGGAAGGGTACAATATTGTGACTGGGGTAGCTGTTTTTGTATCCCCATTTTCTGGGGTATATGAACATGTCCGTTCAGAAATGCCATATCCCTTGATTTCGCCCCTTCTTTACCTAATGTCTGACTACACACTTATGCTTTGTCCTCAAAATTAATAAATTGAATAACAGAAAAGACCCCAATGGCAAATCATGTATTTAATTGCATTTTTTAAAAACTGTAAACGTGTGTTGCATTTCTTCCCCCTAACTTTCCTAACTTGAATAAACATAATTCGAATACGAATGACAGGTGTTAATTTGAATGATAAAAATAACGCCTCGACAAGTGACGATTAATTTGAATGCTAGTTTAGCAGTTTCTAAATTGAATGACAGATCTATGAAATCCTTCGACCAAAATCCTAAATTAAATACAAAATCGGAAAAATTGAATGATAATTGGCATGGAAAAGCTGATCTGCGCTAACTTAAATGCAAAGTAAATGAATTCGAATGACAAACTCGCGAATTTGGTCGGAAAATCCTATATTAAACACGCATGTAAGTAACTTTGACGTTGTTAAGAAACATCGATATACTCAAAGATTTGGTTACGCAAACACTTGAAATCTGATCAATGCAATAGAGGATGGCAATGAAGAGTGTTCTGGTAAACTGAACGGCTGGACATGAGACTGTATATATCTACATCCCAACAATGAGTTGTTGGTGTGAAACCCTTGAAGATCTGCCCCAACGACTATCTGGAGTTCATGCGCACCGCGAGCGACCCAGCGATGCTTGGGTGAAGTACCGTTGGAGTATAAGAGCCTTCCCCGAAGAGCGCATCCCTCATAATTGTCTGCGAACCAAACCTCACGCAGCGTTGGAAAAGGTAGCTCTCGCCTTTTGTCCACTCCATCACATCACCTATTAACCGAGAAAAAGTTCGGCTCACTCTTGGGACGGGGATCCCCGCGGATTTTTCGAGGTGTGATGTTTCCCCGTGTCTCATTACCCCAACCCACACAATCCCCTTTGTTTGAGAAGAGAGACGGGAGCAGAGATTGAACGCGGGAAAGCTGATAGCGAAATATTTTCCAGGGTCCGAGCTATACCGCTAAGAGTTTTGATTTGCTTGGGCGGCAGACTTGAATAGTTGAACGGTAATCCTAAGGATCTGACGCATATGCCCCGGGATTGGGCTTATATTTTTCAATAAACTGGCCATCGTTTATTCATATATCTGGCACAAGGAATAAGTGAGTTAATTGCAAGAGTCAGGGTGGTCGCCTCCGGGATCTTTTTGGACAGAACCTGCCTCTTTCCAGGAGAAATCGTCAACGCCCGAAGGTAATATCAACTAATTTACCTTCCTTTTCATTAAAGCACTTAAAACAATTTGCTTTCAACCGCCCGTGATTTGCCAATATCTTGCTTTCTTTAAATCTATACTTAATCCCTTATTTTATTATATTTGTTTTCAATTTTGGATGTTTGCTTTTGATTTTAAAATTATTCCCATTTTTCCCAATCTACTACTTTGCCCTTTTCCTTTGGCGTAAATTAGGTTTTTATTACTTTTACCTCTATAGTCCGATTCTTCTCCAGGCCCGTAGCTTAATCCAATTTCTAATTTTCATCGCCTCTTCCCTGACCTTAATGGTGAAGAAAAGTTTCACTAAAAAGAGGACGAAACTATTATAGCTATAAAATACGAATTAACGCCAGAGTTGAGAAGTCAAGATTTTTTGAAGCAATCCTAAGAACTCCGAAATAACCCGTATGCTATCCTGTTTCTTCTCCCGGGTAATTGAATGTCGATACTGGGTGATATTAGCCACCTCCTCTCTTAATCAACGGGAAACTTACCCGGGGCTCGGGGCAAAAAGCCTGGTTGCGTTCATGAAATGCCAAACTCTCATTTGGAACACGTTCAAAAACTAAGCGATCCTGCTGCCAGGAGATTTAGTGAAACTAAAATCATTCGCAGTTCTTGCCTAAGATTTGTCGAAATAATTATGTCCACATAATATTATCAATTAGACTTATACTTACATCAGGCAAACCAGCAAGCAATTAACACGACGGAGTGAGTAATTCATAATGCTTCGAAGAAAAAATAAGGCGCAGGCTTCCAGCAGTTTGTATTTTTCAGGACAAAATGCAAAAAAATGTGTGAATTTAAAGACTAATTTGGGTCATTATAATGATAATGTTAATTATTTAGAAGTGCTAAAACCACAAAAGTAACAGTGCGCTTACAAAATCACAGAATTTGAAGAGAAACACAAAATACAAAGACTCATAAGATGGGTAAATTACATTACTGAGGGAAGAAGAATGTTTTAAGTGATCTTGTAAAAGTGGCAAGAGTATGGTTCATTCTCTAATGAAACTTATCGTTTATTTTAGAAAAAACACTTACAGGTTGCTCAAATATCACTATTTCGTGAACTTCTTACTTTCATCTCAAACTCGAAAGAAGAAATCCCTAAAGCTTCGAATAAAAAAACAACTTGCAGGCTCCAATCGATTTGTATCTTTCTTGACGAAATTCAAGAAATCTATGAATTTGACGACCATTTTTGGAATTGTTTATGAAATAGCCCACAACCCCGCTCAAATATTTTCATATCGTGGAGGTCTGATTTTCGTCTCGGCCACGAAAGGTGATTGGGGATTCTAACCTTAACAACTTTTGTTATTTTTCGCTCCAGGTCGATTAGGTCCCATTAAGGCTTTAAATATTTGATGATTCCCTGGTGCTTTTTACACAGTAATAGCGTGATACGATCAATCATAAGGATGCTTTCTATTGACAAACAGGCTTGCTTTTAAAATGTCTCAACCAGAGTTCTTTATTCACCATTTTTACTTGAAGCTGCATTAATTAAAGATAATGAATCGTTTGATTGCGATTAATCTCTTTTTCCGAAAGCAGGTGCAGTATTAGCGTTTTCCTATATCATCAACACACATTTTTACAAATAAAGTTATTTCGTGTATGACGAAAGATTGAGAAGGTTTACAACGAAATCAGTCTTTTAAATCGATGTCATTAAGTTGTGGCAATTTTGTGTTTTAGATTTAAAAAACGAGCTGTCGTTTCAGCTGTCTAAATATCTGGTGGGCATTTGCGCCGACGTTTGGCAGTCATCAGAAATGGATTAATTGATAATGAGTATTAGAATAGTTTACAAGAAATCAATAGCTGATGAAAAGCCAATGGAAATCAGACAAGATCATTGAAGATATCTATCAAATTGGTGGGGTAATGTTGAAAATGATTTTCATTGTGTGAAGGGAACGAACACTATTTCAAAAAGCGCGAATGATTAATTAAATAATACAAAGATAACAATATAATATGACTCCTTAACAAATAATTTCCTTTTTGCATTAAGAAAAACAGACGCAAGATAAGAGCTGTCATCAGACATTTAAAAGAATAAGATCTTTACCATATCGGAGCTTACAGTTTGCGTGCTATTATTTGTAGGTTAATGTAAAGTCGTCCTATAATATCTTTATTTTCATTCCAATTTTTCCCTTTTAAGGTTTAATTTGACTTTTTTTTCAAAGTAGATTCAGTAATTCACGTGTACATTTTTAGAAGGATTGTATACATTTCCGACGACTCCTTATTACTACATTTACATGACATTTTTAGAATTTCATCGATTTTGACTTTGACTCTTTAGAATGTCACTCGTCATCGCAAATTCTTTTAAAGAAAGAAAGATGAGGCCCAACGTGTTTTTCCACCTAGCCATAAACCACGGGCATCCATTATTTAACAAGCAGAACGTTTGATGTTAAATGACTTCGCTTATGATAATGACAAGCTGATGTTTTACTTCCGAGCGAAATGGAAGAGTGAATTGGAAGTGGGACGCCTGAGAAATTGCGATGGTAGAAAATGAAAGAAGAAAATCCATTATACCAAATTAAATGCTTTAGAAGAAAGCATGAAGATATTTTGTCTCATAGAACTTAAAATGGAGTAGACACCTCCGGGCTAGTCTACGCGAATCAATCTTAAAAGGAAACCCACCAATCGCTACCAAATTGCCCTCCTTAAATTACCGATTAGGGAAATGAGAAAAACGAAGAGTTCTGATTTTAATACTTTTTTTCCGGGAGAAGAGGTTTTTTTTTCTTCTTTATGAAATCCAATGAGAATGGAAATTTGCTGGGAGGGAGGGAAGAGGTTTGTAATTTAAAAGCCTTTTTGTTTGTTTGTACTTTTCACCTGAGTTTTGCGAGTAGCTATGTTATTTTCCAGTATCTTTTTTAAGGATCCCTTATAATTCCAATGATTTTTTACAAAGGTATGCAAAAGATACTATGGAACTATAAGCTCAAAACGTTATGGTAGCTCTGTCAGCAGTTGAAATAATGTTTACTTGGGGCCCTATATAAAACGTAACAATACAGAATACATACATGTGCATTATTAGTTATATGGTGCAATAGTAATTTCGATTTATTTCCAGGAAATTTAAACTACATAGAAAAAAAAATGAAATCAACATGACCTTCATTTAGTAATCCTAAAGACCTATTATTTAAAAAAATAAAAAAAGTGATAATGCACGCAAACTCACGCACGCGCACACACAAGAAATACAAAGGGCTTAGCGTGAATGTTTCATCAGTTGGTGTAAGACTTGATCAAATGAATTTGATATCTTTTTTAACACTCGACAAACAGATCAAAACTACATTGTACTTAGTTAGATTTACGACGAATAAAAAAAAACGACAACTAACAAACAGCAACATGAAAATCACCCAAAGTATAATCAGGACTGTCAATATAGTTTCGACCTAACACTTAGAGTAAGATTGATGAAGGCTAGACAAAAAAACAATCCCAAACAAATCTTTACTTGGAGTTACTGAAGCTTTCGGTCTCATAAATCTTAGATCGTGTTATTCGTTGTAAATCTGAATTTGCAAACTGGACAAGTATTCAGAATAATAATATTAACAATTTGGATTTATTTGCCCAGGGTGGCTCCATCAGTATTGATACTGTTTTTCCTGCGGGCTATGCAGGGAGAACTACTATAAACGGGAGACATGAAGCGAAAAATAAAACCCCACCTCACAATAACTTGTGCATTTTCTTCTCCCACCGTAGTTCAGAAACAATATGTCCGCTTTACTAATAGCTAGATCCGTTCCGCAGGCAATATAATGGATAGCAGATAGCTTAAGTAGCAGTGGAGCTCAAGGCCATATCATATGGATGAAAGTGAAAATGCGTTCGAGGCCTCCATCATCCATCATGATTATTCAAAGTCACTCTTAAAGTTGGAGGGGAAAAAAATCGTATGAAAATATCTCCAAAAAGAAGAAGGAAAAAAGCGAAATATGTATTTTTGATGGTTCGGTTTAAGTTCGGTGAAGCTAGGACACATTTTTTTTTGGTTTTTTCAATCATGATATTTTGTACATGTAGGAGAAATTCAATGCCACTGCAATTTACAGTCACTATCATAAATCTCTTCATCCATAGGAGCGACTAAGGGCAAACGGCCAATTAAAGCTAATCTTCACTATTTATACAGGGATTCCACGCTTAATATGATTCTGGAAGTGTCTATGGGGTAGTGGGTTGTTTACGCCAGGAAAATATACACACATTGCTAGAAAAATCATAATAACTAAAAAGAACAACTAACTTCGCAGATATTTATCTTTGGGGAGGCTACAAGCACCTTCAAAGTACCACCATTACCATGTCTTTGGCCAAGCTGCCCCGCGGAGCTGAAAGCAATCTAGAGAGTTCTTCTTCCCTAACAGGAACCCATTAACTACACCTGTGTTGAGCGTGGCAATTGTGACTGCATGTCTTGCCGCAGGACATTAGTGCATACGCTTTAGGCAATGTATCTAAAGGTTTCCGAGAAATATCATAACTGCCTTCCTGGTCAGGCTCGAACTGGGGACCATTTGAATCAGATGTTTCCACTAGACCACGATTGAATCAGAATCAAATTAACTCGGGTAACTTTTTCACCTTGTATTTCTGCAAATTACTGTGAGGGTTTTCTTTCTTCCCATGTTTCCTCCCCCCTCCCCCTCTCTGGTAAAATGCTCTGATGGTGCTGGTAGCGAACGAAGAATCTAAAGCCATGGCAATATTTTAATTAGCTTCGAATCGCGAAGAGATATTCTATACCATCAAGCTATATACGCATGGCACACAATTAAATATAATACCGTTATTGAATATTCTCCTATGGTTATTAATGCAAGTCAACCTGCTCAGCAATACATTTTAGTTATTGAATGGTAGGGATTACGACGCAATAATGGTCAGTAAATTGATTACGAAACTAAAAGCTAGTGATACCTGTTTCACAATGAACTATGGCACTCTGTGTGCGTGTCTTACGAACTTTCGCGAGGGATGACGGTATAAGAAGTAGACAAGTTTACGTTTTGGTCGTGATTTTGCTTGTCAGTGTCCGATTCTCTCTTTGATATAAACATAAGAAGAACTAGAACAACAGTCAGGGTTCTACCGGAAAATAAACATGATTCCATATTTTACACGATGTCAAAGTTGTCAAAAAAGCAAAACTTGGACATGAAAAAATAGTTAGCTTCACAAGTGTGTGCCTTTCTGCTACCATGACTATTATTACATAATATAACAATATATAAAACAAAATTTTGGGACGGGGTCATGAATTTGGTTCAAATAAACATATTGGAAGCTTATGCGATGCTGCAATATTCATGGATCGTTGTTGCGGTTGAAATCGAGTCTAAAATTATGAAATTGTAAATAATAAACTCTTATGTTATATAGCCCCCTCTCAAGGTCAAGATATTAATTAAGCTATAAAACAATTTTTCTTGACTAAAATCGACCAATTAGCTATTCCCGTTTGGAAATTATATATCACAACCACATATTCTGAGATTTTCATGATCACAGCTACCATTGTACGGCCGTAGGCGCTATTTGAAATTTATCAAAATTTACCGAGAAACCGGTAAATATTTATGTTCAATTTGTCTCGAAAGGAGAAGTGTTTTAGGGGCTACTTTTTCTTGTGCTTATAATACATCTACAGGGGCATCCAAATTGTAAAGAATCATTTTCCACCCAATTTTCAAAACTTTCCCAAAAACTTTGTATTACCTTTAACAACAGATCTCGTTTACTTTTTGTTTTTGTATAAGCATTGAAATGGAAGACCTACAAAAAAGGTACATGGATTCTTACATCAAATGCTAAAATGCTAAAACCGTACCACGGTGTTAATGACGTTGTTGACGTTCTGTATTTATTTTTGAAGATTTATTTCAGTTGATTTCATACCGTTACAACAATGCTGTCTTGTTTTGACCAAAGTTCTGGTCGTTAATTGTTCGGATTAACTAAGTTTTTTGAAGACTGAAGACTTACAAGAGACCATGAAGGTTTTCCAACTTAAGAAGAAAGAAAAGAAAAAGGCAAATAATTTAATCAGCATGATTGGCCCTTAAACTGAAAATTCTACGATAGGGGAAGTTGGATTTTTTTCATGAGAGAGACATAGAGCAAGGAGCTAGATGATGATGGGAGACGGACCAGAATGAAAGGAATGAGGAACGGTTGCAACAAATAACAAATAATATTCCGCTTAATACAATGTTTCTAAGCTCATTACCCCGTTCATTGGATTCAGTGCTTGTCCGTACACACTGTGTGCACAATCTCAAATACATTTGAAAAGTAAATTATTCATACCTTTCCCAATTTTTGTAATTTTTTTAAGTATGTCAAAGTTTTATGCATTCCGATTTCTGTTTCTTGAGAATATGACATATTAAACCTTACATCTAAAATTATTCAACAAAGGCACTAATTCAACCAGTCCACATTTAATTCTTGAGTTACGAAAAAAACACACATCAAATTTACAAGGAGTATGAATAATTTAGTTGTTTAGTGTACGTAATGAAAATTGACTTATAGGATCCAGCAATGCCCCATAGCACATGATGCGTCTCTTTCGATTACGTTCTTACGTAAAATAACATTTACTGCAATTAGTGAAGGCGTCGATAGTTCAAAGTCACGTCTACACTCTTTATTTTGCATTCCAAATACCATACATCATGATATAACTATGATAATGCGTTGATAACTTAGATATTGTAGGCATCTTTTGTTAATTGATAGTGTAAACTTTAAAGATGTAGTTGAGTTCTGGTCATGCGATTGCATTGTGAAAGAAGCGGTGTGGAATCGACCAGAAATGGTTGATCATCTGGCATATAAGAATTTGTGTGTATTGCAAGGTTCTGGAATTATCAAAATGATAAGAAATTTGGCCAAGTCTTGGTAAAATCCAAACACTGTACACAGAAAGATGTATATGGGACTACATGAACACGTGGCGTAAAAATCCTACCCCCGAGTTTTACGATGTTACATGAAATATTTAGAATATGAAGTCATTTGAAGAGCCATGCTTTTCAGGGAACATGTCTTATCTGATGTTCTTCCACACTTGCATAATAAGAATGATAACGCTCACAAATTATTTTTCACCTCTTCACAAAACTCAACCTTCTCTTTAAGGAGCACGACATTTCAGTGGATTTCTTTCTTTCATGTGTTTTGTCAATACATGGACCGCATGAATTTGGGAAGGGGAAGTGGAATTTGAGCCTGTCTTTAGCGGCCACTTCTTTATAAAGGCCACTTGACTACCATGGTCAGCTATATTGTTTCCCTCTGGAAAGAAATGTATGTTGAAGTGCCAAGTTCTCCTGTTTCCCTTTGGTAGCCTTTATAGACAGCTTTGACTGTCTGTATTTCTTACGATTTTTTTCTTAAAATCTCATTATAACTCGCTCATGATTAAATTCTTGTTGTCTCTGTTTTCATGTAGGAGTGCGTCAAGGCAAGAACATCTTCTTCGGTCGTGAGTGAAAGCGACAACCGCTACGATGTACGACCCCCTCATCGACAAAGCGACGAACATGACCCACATCTACAACGACTTCAGCAACCCCAGCACGCACGTCCAGGACCACTACGACTATTCGGACGATTCGGCACCCAGCGATGACGGCGAGCTCTTCCCCCGGGTCCACATGGCGGCCAAGGCTGCACTGGGCTTGAGCTACACACTCATGATCCCCGTTTGCGGGATCGGGAATCTACTTCTTTGTTGCGTCATCTACCGCTTCCGACGCATGCGCACGACAACAAATCTCCTCATCGGGAATCTAGCGCTGTCCGATTTTATCGTTGCCGCGGTAGTGGCACCCTTTAACTTCTTCTACTACCTGCACCAGACGTGGCCCTTCGGCGAGGCTATGTGCGTGACCGTCGGCTTCTTGAAGGCTACGTCATTCTATGTATCGATCAATTCACTGCTGGCGATCGCTATTGACAGGTAAGGTATTAAGTTATGAAGGGCGGCCGGGGGGAGGGGGGGGGGGTCGGTACAGGTATTATAAACTATAAGAGAAGTAAAGTGCGATAAACCTAATACACTTCCGTCTGGCCCTTGGCGCAAACCTGTGCAAAATAGCCCGACCTCGCTCAACGCTAATTACACGCAATTCGATATCGTAAGAAGCTCATTGGATATAACCATGCAATCTAGACTTAGTCTAGTAGATGTTTATCAATAAGGAGATTGTCATGAAAAGGATATCCAACAAAGACTTATACTTAAAACATGATCATGTCGTGAAGGCGTTAAACATAAATCATGAACAACAATGCATTTGAATCTTTTTATAGAGGCTCCGAATTCACACGTCTTTATAAAAAAAAAAAGCCCCCAAGAATAAAAGCAACGTCTACCCCTATTTTTCTTGATAGGCCTACCGCCTTGATTCAATCTGATAGACCTTTAAATAGATATGAACTACCCTTCTTACGAATGGAAACACACCAAGATTGTAATCTAATCCTACAACAAACCTGTTGCCATGCAAGGTTTTCATCCCTTCGAGCATGTCACGATACGAATAGTTATGACGTCCACATATTTCTCTTTATCTCAAAGATGAAGTGCTTAAGCATATAAATGAGACGAACTTTGTATTTTGTAGTTCAGGGCTTCAGGAGTTATAGATATGAGAGCTATATACCTATTCGGGTTTCCTACTAACTGTACAAATTAGCGGATACTAACAGTATAAACTAGCAGTTCCCCAGCGAACTGGGAGTTGTGGCGTGCGCCTGTAATCCAGCTAACAGTGGAAGTTACAAATTGATTCAGCCGCGGACGCAGGTTCGAAACCGAGTCACGTCTTTCGGATGGTGACGGTAAAGGTCATTCCCCAGACGTAAATAATCATATCTGATTGAAACACATCTGTAAAAACTCAATACACATACACACACACACACGTACAAAGTGATCACCATTTGGGTTGAAGTTATTGGTTTTACTAAAATATGTCACGTTTACTTGGTGCAAGCAAGAAGGTCAAAGAGCAAAACAAAGATCAATATCCTTGCCCTGAAATTTATATGATCACATATATCTGAGTTACTTCCCTACTCAAATAATAATAATCAAAAGAAGAGACATTGAAAAAAAAACTTTGATATCTCGAAAACTACAGGTTTCTAGAGAAACTAAAACTGGGGTTTCGTTTTATCCTCCCATGTGTTTTAAATATATATATATATATATATATATATGTCTTTTGCAGCCAACACCAAGTTCTGTAGAACTTTGCAGGAATTACGAATATGTCATGAATTTCCTATCTGTGAAATTTAAACGTTAGCAGTGTCCGCGTGTTCAAATTATGCAAGAAAACCCGTTTATTGTCTAGACTTCCCTGTCAGACACTATTGAGCGACTGACTGACATTGTTTTCTTTGGTAATAAAATACACAAAATGAGCTTTAACAGGTACATGAGCATTTGTCTACATCAATAACCCACTACAAAATTTAACTGATTGAATATTTGTACGGCACAAAACGTTCGGTACAAGGGTCTGAAAATCAGACCATTACTCAGGTGATTGCAATCTATAATGTCGATTCGACAACAAATGGTCGTTATTTTCCCATAATAAGCCATTTTCAAACCCTTTCGTTTTGAGGGAAGTTCTAAATAAGTATTGTCTTTCAAATGTTATTGGAATTTAACCTTTTAATTTTTTGACCTGCAAATGGGACAAAGTACCTTTAATGTTTTACCCTAATTTACGTCATCCGTTCAAATTTTACAGACATCGTACGTTACAGTTTAAAGTGTAGGCTGAGTTCTGGTACAGGTGAAAACTAATTTGCGAGCTCTGACAATCTTTGGCCGTCAGTTTGGTGAAAGAATATGGTAGAGATATCCTCTGAAAAAGATTACCCTTCTAATGTCCTCATATTCGAATAAGACCGATAGAAAGATTCGAGCAAGACCATGTGTATATCGTTAAAACCCCCCAAATCACATTAAATGCACGTATTTTTATGTGCTACACAAGCAACTTTTCCAACTGCATCGCTACAGGTTCTTTGACAACGCAATAGCATGACTAGGAAAACGTTTTTATTATATCCACCCATCTCATGTAAGCTAAACTGTTGCATTTAGCACGTTAAAAACGATGAATGGCTACGTTTTCATGAGATTTGTCAGATAAGCTTTAGACGAAAAAACGGAAAATGATGAATATAATATTTCCTTGGTCCTCAAAATGAAGGTCAGTAGGGCAGTTTTTAAAACCACAAATCATTATTTCTGCGGGAAGCAATGACAAAAGCGCTGGCGGACTTATGTCAAAGACGTCCTGTGCTTATGAAAAATACATTCGTTTCTGTCTACTCGAGACACATTATTGTTCGAAAGCACTCATGGTGGGCTTTGCGACAAAAATGATGAGTAGGCCTATTTAGCAATTGCTGGGGTAAAAATAATCTCAGTGCCCTAAGGAAGAACACTGATGAGGCTTCGCTGGGTAAACGAAATTATAATTAATGTTATTAATTCTCAAAATAAAGCAACTAGACAAAGAATTAAATCAAACAGCCAATTAAATTATGTCTTCTTAGACTTAGAATTTGAACTTTTGAAGGCAGCTTCGGCCATGCAGCTTACACCATACCCGTTACCAGAGCACACTGGGACAATTCTTGGTGAAAAAAAACACAATTCCGAAACTTTCCAACATATAATTTCAAGCAGCTACTAATTTACAGCAGCTAACTCAACCAATTTTTTGTTTACCAACAATATGAACATGTAATACCTTTTACTTTTACGAGTCTCTTTGGCTTACGATCATGGAAAAAGCCGAGCTAAATATTATAATAAATACAATCATCAGTAGTTGTAGTCATTATGGTAACAGTAGTAGTAGCAGTGTTATTATATTAGTAGTAGTAGTAGTAGTAAATAATAATAATGAAGATGATAATTAGGATAATAGTAATAATAGCTATGATAATGATGAAAAGAAATAAAAAACGGCCTCTTGTATCACAATTATGTCCGTCACGCCGTGACGTTCCAGGCACTCCAAATTTGTTACCTATGTTGTATCCGAATGGCCAAATATGGAGATTCTAGCATATTACTATTAGCTACCCATGTACACCTAAATGGAGAGGGGAAAAAAAATTGACATACCGAAGGACTATGAAACCTGGCTTGATTTCGAAATGAATGATCCACTATACCACGACACGTCTATCTCTTCATTCCTTCTTTTCACAAAGGAAATCAATGAAATGTCGATGAGTGGAGAGGACGCGGGGGTACATAATTGGGGTGGATACATAAATCTTGACCCCCCCCCCATCAACACCTACGCTCTTGAGAGAAACACGTGGATATCTTAACCCGTCTGCGAGCATCCTCTTCTCCATTTGCACGGCACTGCATCCTATTTCCTCCCACTTCAAGCCCTCGTCTCGCGGGTACGATGCAAAGAAGAAGATGGGGTATATGATGCAACCCTGGGGCACTCAAGGCCATATACCACACAGTATTAGCTCTGGTGATACCTTAATGTGATACGCCACCGAATAACATTTCCCCGTCTTCTCTCACGATCTTCATCTCGGTGAGCATCATGAGGAGAGGGAAAAAATATGAAAAGATGGCCAGAGGACATAGCTCTTTACATGGACAAAATACAAACCAGAATATTGATGATCCATGTTTGACATCAAAATAGAAGAAGAGTGGAGTAGATGAAGAAATGGCGTAGGCCTATTTTCGAGACAATGTGGGGATAGTCATGGACATAAATAAACGCTTGTGGCTTGTATGATACATACTTTTGCCGGGTACTGAATAAGGACTCACAAATGATGCAGTTTCAAGAATAAATAGATACACCTATTGATTAGGTTTTGACGCAGATCGCTTTAAATATAGTCCGAAATTCCAAGATCAAAACAAGTTATCGTCTGTTATTTTGTTTTAAAAAAGGTGTCAGTTTCTTCAAAAGTAAGATGGTATAAAGATACAAAATTACGCCGTATTCCACTTAATGTAACAGAAGATATTTGAATCGTAGACATTACGCTTCTTTCTTTCATTAATATGTAATAAGACAAATTGAAAAAGAAGTAAAAATCCAAGTAAGAGCGCATCAACTTTTTAACGACAAAAACATTGAAAATGTATATCATTTTGAGAGTTTTGGGCTTTCGAAAACCACTCACACATCCACAAATCGCACATACTCACGCACAGAGAGAGAGAGAGAGAGAGGGGGGGGGGGGGAGGTAAATAGACATAGAAAGAAAGAGAGAGAGAGAGAGAGAGTGTTTGTGTGTGTTTGTGTGTGTGTGTTTGTGCGAGAGAGAGAGAGAGAGAGAGAGAGAGATTTCGTGACCAAGGTAATAACATGAATAAAATATTTCTGATCTTGGCAGAACATCCTCTCAAAATAACCACTACCCCTATAAATTACTCATTTGAAATTCATATTACGTTGCCAACTCGACATAAGTGATACGTCTGTAACGTTTTCTCTGTTGTTGGTGTTGTTTTCATTCCCCAGGTTTGACTCTCGCCACTTTCGTTTTTCTTCTTGAAGAGCCATTTTTTGTCCTTATCTTTATTACCTTTTTTTAATCTAGAGGAGGGGGGGGGGGGGGGGGTCGGATTCAATCTCTTTAATGGCTCTTCAATTTGATCGCGGATGCGTTAAAATCTTATATTCTATTCAGACTTTTAGTGTGATACACGTCGATGAACAGATTTGTCGTCTCGCGTTACACTCTTGTAAAGAAACGTGACGACAAATCCCGTGTCGAATTTCCACAAAATTCCCGTCCTCTCTGCGGCGGTGATTTTTTTTAAAGTATCGACTTCTCATCCACTACAAATGTACTCCAAGGCCCATTAAGTGGTGGAAATCATTACATTTTCCGAATTATTGTGCCTCTTCTACTGTGCGGTATCTTTTACAGGAA